AAGTGATATTATTAAATTAAATTAAATTTGTACTTACCATGAATGGAAAGTTCTCTTTGATTAAACAACTCCCAATATTTTAAAATGAATTTTGAATTTATGTACTTTATGTGTGTGTGTGTGTTTGTTTTTTTAAGCATTTCACCCCAAGCAAGGCGGGAAGCCACTAGGACGCAAGGGGTTACAGAAAATTTAGAGCAAGATCATATAGGAGTGATAGAAGAAAGGATAAGAAGAAGGGTAGTGGAGAGATCAAGGCAACTGGCGATGTCGATTGACATTACACTTGAATAGCTGGAGATTATAGCTCTCAGGGAAACTGGAATAGGGAAGGGAGTTCCACAGGCAAGAGGTGTGAGTCATGAAGCTATTGGAGTAGAAGAGACAGCTACATTTAGGGTTTTCGACAGTGAAGGGGTGAGAGCGGGATGCTAGCCTCGTAGGGCGCTTGAACTCATGAAGTCTGGGAACCAGCGAATGCAGCTCCTCAGAGCAATTGCCATGAAAGTATTTGTAGAACAGACAGAGAGAGGCGACGGCGTGTCTGTGAGAAAGTGACTGTAGACGAGATGCCAGAGCAGGGCCAATTATATTGCATATCTGCCTCTGGAGCCTATCAAGAACCCCGAGGCAAACAGAAGGGGCACCAGACCATATATGGCAGCAAGGGTGAATTGTTGATTTGTAGATCTGGAGGATCGATTCCGGGGAGAAACATTTCCGGGTGCGGCACAGGGAGCCAACTTTCCTTGTGGTGGACGAAGCAATTGACTCAATGTATTTGTTTCATCTCAGGTCAACAGTCAACGTGAGACCAAGCAGCCGTAGAGAGTTGTTCTCAAGAAGTTGAGCGTCAGACATTCTAATGGAGGGCAGGGAAGGATCTATGTGGTGATTAATAAAGAACAGTTTTGTTTTTGAAGCATTAAAGTTGACCAGCCTATTCCTGCCCCAATTCACAACTGATTGGAGATCCTTTTCGAGACGCACGGCCAGGATAGTTTTGTCAGTGACACTAGATTTGTTCTTGAGGCAGGAATAAATTGTGGTGTCATCCGCGTAGATGCCAACTTGGGAATTTATGGCGTCAGGAAGGTCATTTATGTAGATAAGGAATAGAATGGGGCCTAGAATGGAGCCTTGAGAAGCACCTACGTTCGTGGGATAGGAACTGGAGGAGAATCCGTTGAGAACAACCTTCAATTCACGGTTTGACAGGAATTATTGTATTAGGTCAAACAATCGATCCGTAATGCCATAACTCTGGAGCTTGTGAAGAAGGCTGGCGTGCCAAACCCTATCAAATGCTTTGGAGATGTCTAGGGCCACAGCACGAGCTTCCCCGTTATTTTGAAGAGCTCGGTAGACAGTTTCAGTGATGGCCGTAAGCACATCAGCTGTAGATCGGGCAAAGCGGAAGCCATATTGCTTGTCTGAGAGCAGATCATGGGATATGAGGTGGTTAACCACCTCGGTATTGATTAGGGCTTCGAAGACTTTGCTGAAGAGGGGGAGGAGACTGATAGGATGGTAGTTAGAAAGGTCAGAGGGGTCGCCAGAGTTCTTGAAGACAGGAACAATCGAAGAGGACTTCCAGCAGTCAGGAAAACAAGATTCCTTGAGGTAGTAGTTGTATAGTTTAGAAAGGGCGGACGCCAGTTCAGGCGCGCATTTCTTTAAGACAATGGCTGGTATCCCATCTCCACCACTAGCCTTGTTGGGGTCTAAATTGGAGATAACGCCCAATACCAAAGACAGGGTTATGTACAACACGCTCAATAGGGCCTCAGATATAGAGAGGGAAGTCAGGTATGGGTACACCGGAAGAGTCGAGCGTCGAGTTAAATGAAAATTTCTGTGCAAAGCATTCAGACTTGTTGGCAGAGGAGGTCAGAACTTCTAACTGGTTGAACAAAGGAGGTATAGAGGGTTTGCAATTGTTCAATACGCTCTTGCAGAGACGCCAATAATCTTTGGAGCCAAATTTGCGAGAGGCAATACGCTCCTTCATCCGAGCCGCAAATAGTGACTTAGCATCGTTGAGGACACGCTTACACTCATTACGGGCGGAGGCAAAGAGACATCTATTGCAGTCAGGCATGCCGCTACGGAATAGGTGAAAGAAGTGGTTCCTATGGGCGATGGCAGCTGAACAAGCAGCGAAGAAACAGGAGGAGGAGTATGACTTGACCCTATATTTCCTTGATGGGATGAAAGCGTCGATTCCAGCTTTAACCCAGGATGAGACCTCAGAAGCACATTCTTGGACGGGGAGCGTAAAGACACCATCCCAGGGGACATCGCGAAGGAAATCACAGAACGTGTCCCAGTCAGCTCGTTGATAGTAGAATGAAGTTCTAGTGGTAGGAGGTTCTTTGTAGGGGGTGGAGTTGAAGATGTTAACAGATACTACCGCATGATCAGTTATCAAGAGGGCAGAGTTGCGTGGCGCTGCAGGACTCGGGGATGGAGGTAAAACACAAATCGAGAAGAGAGGCTTTTCCTTCTCGGTTGAAGGCAAAACGAGTGGGGAAGTTAACTATCTGCGTGAGGGATTGAGAGACTGAAAAATTGAGCATTTGAATGCCTGCGTGGTCAGTAGTAGCATTCTTAAGCCACATGGTATGATGGGCGTTAAAGTTGCGAAACACAAATATGCGAGCAAATGGGTGGAGGGAGAGAGCCTTGTCTATGCTGTCAGAAATGCTATCGAGTATCCCACAGTCTTGAGAGGGTGGAGAGTGGTAAAGGAAGAAGAGATAGCTTACCGCATTGAGGAGAGATAGTCGGAGACACATGTACGACTGGTCTGGCGATTCAAGAGAGAACTTTCTGGCCAGAGGGAGATGTTCCTTGATGTAGACACCAAGACCGTGCATGTGGGTTAGAGAGTCTTTTCTGAGGAGAGGAAGGTAGCCTGGGATCGAGAGATCAGAGGAGGGGATAGACAAGACAAGGTTGGTCTCACAGAGAGCCAGTATATCCGGGCAGTTTGCAGTGAGGAAAGATTCCATATGTTTTCAGTGTTCGACCACAATGGAGTCACAACACAGTTTCTTTAAGGTTACATTTTCGTAGGCGAATGAAATCAAGAAAGAAAAGAGAAAGAACGAATTTGTGTCTGATATTTATAATTAAGGTAATCACATGACAGGCTCCTGGGAAAGATGTAGGAAAACTTAACTTGGTCACGTGCTGGAAAAAACTTGTCTGTAGGTGGATTACAACACCCACGTGTATGTTTATTGACCAATTAGAAGAGATTTCCTGAAAATGTTTATAAAGCTGGGTAAGCTCTTTGATCCACTTTTTGTACAGATTTGTACAAAATTCAACATTAATAAGAAAGTGGTATCGGGATGCTAAAGGCCTCTTGTGACTCATTATTTATTGGAGCTCACAGGCCATATTATATAGGGCCCCCTCCAGGGGGTCCATTACAACAGAAAGTAAGAGCAGTTACTAGAACAACTGAAATGTATGGCGAATTTTTCTAACACTCCCTCAACAAGTGTCTTTGTAAATTAGACTATAAAGCATGCTTAGAGTATTTTCCTAAATTTTAAAGATGCGTTCAAGTTATATTCAGCAAGTAATTGTTAGTTATGTCCCCTTGAAATAAAATCAAACATATTTAGCGATAAATCTGTTAACACCTCATAAAAACACCCATCTTTGTGTTAAAAAATAATCTTTTGCAATATTTTAAACTAAAAGGAAATATTTGTTTCAAATCGGATTAATTCAACTTTAAATCAGTTAATCTTCCTTAAATAAAGTTTCAGAAAAGTATATTTTATTTTTGAAAGATTTTTAAAGAGAATTACGTTGTGTTGACAGATTTGTTATTTGGACGATTTTAGCGTTTTGTTTTGTTTTTTTAACTCATTCCAATCAATTTAAATTTAGTTTGAAATACTGCAAAGTATTTTGCTTATTGGAAATATTAAATTTAATAAGCTTGAAATTAAATTTTAAAAAAAGCTTCAAGAAAGATTGAAAAAAAAAAATACATTTTTTTAAAACCTTCATTTTTCATTGGTAATATCGGTTAACGAACAGGACAAACTTTCTGGAATTAATTCTGGCTTGTGTACTTTGTGCGGCATTTTTTCAGTAATATTGTTACCCTCGACTACATTTCTAACATGTAAACGTGGTGCAGCAACCTAAAGGCTAGAGACTGTGACCTCCTCTGCAGAATAACAAGGTTACAAGTGTGTTTCCCTTGATAGTTTTTTTTTTACTGTACAGATTTACCAACGCAAGATTTAATAAACGATGTAATAATTTACTATTAAACAAATCCAAAAACACCTCTTTAAATGCACTGTGTTTTTTTTTTAATAAAGCAATTATACGTTTCTGCAACATAAAAAATTAATTATTTACTCTTGAAACCATTACCAAGAAAAAAAAAGTACTTTGTTCCCTTGGTTAAATTTTTTAAAAATTGTTAATGTTCACTAATTTTGACGATAATCGGTGGCTGATCTCATCCGTAATTTTTTCATGGGATGAAGAGTGTGATGTAATGTTATTTTCTTGTTTTTTATTTCGTTGAATAGAAAACTTCGAGAAAAATTTAATATTCACTAAGTTTTCTATTCAACGAAATAGAAATTTTAAAACTGACAAGTTGAAGTTGGAACAACACCAACAGTTTTTTTTTTCTTTATTCAAGAATGGATGGAGATACTTCGTAGAGTTCAAGGAATCAGATTCCACCAAAACATTGACAATGATTTTTTTCTTAGAAAAATGGCACTTTTGTTTGTTTCAATGTTCTAAATGAGGTCTGTACTTTCTACGAAATCATGAAACTAAAACAAATTCAAGTTTTCAGTCAACCTAAAGAGTTTCGTTTTTATCGTCAGTCAAACACATAATGAAACTAAAACTCCATACTATACTGCCGGTGTCTGACTTTTAATGTTAAAAGTTTTTTTGTTATTTTTTCCTTCCTCTTTTTAGTTTTTGAAATATAAGTAAAGAACAACATGAGTGTACTTAAGAAGACTGATGAAATTTGCAACAAAGTGTGGCCTGAAGAACGTTTGGTTGAATTGTTTAGGATCCTTCGGCAATTATGCTTTAAGTATATAAAAGCCACCCATCTCCTGACAAATCTTCCTTTTCTTAGACGTAAGTAGTTTTTATTTTTCTACTTAGAAGGTGCTTGGTAGGGGAAATCTGAAATACGAACGACACTGATGAAAAAAAAATGTATTATGTAATAATCCTAATTTTTAAAGCAATTTAAGAGACTCCCTCCCACACACACACACTTTACATTTGGGACAATAGAACATCATTGTATAATTAAGATTTTAATTTAAAATATATATTAACCAAAAATTCTAACCTTATAGCGAATGTTCAAATTAGAAAATTAAAAATTTAAAATAGAAAATTAAAATTGCACCGCCCAATTCCCCCCTGGTAATTTTGGATTAAGCCGATATAGTATTTAAACAGATATTGCGCGTTAAATTTAGAAAGCGTAACAGGGAACATTTTAAACCGGTTACATTTTTCTGTTCATAAAATAAATTAATTTTATTCTGGTTATTTAGTATCTGGGCAATTTGGTTTTTATAAATACAAACAATTTAACAAAAACTGAATTACCTCCCTTACATTTTTCGTATTCTGAGATCACCTTTTGGATAGGAGTCATGTATTAGAAATAAAACAAAAAAATAGTATCTAAAAAGGCAATTTATAAACTATTTTCAGAAAGAACTGGAATATAATTTAATCTCTGAAAAAAAATGGAAGGATCAGAATATGAGGATAGGTAAAGAAACGTATTAGTAAGGACGTTAAAAATAAAATAATACTACGATTTTTTTAGAGAGGATCTACCAAAATAGTTTTTTTGATGAGACATTGTTAGACTCTGGAAAAAGTAAATTGTGATCTGATGAAAGGCGAACATTTTTTAAATTATTTGATTTCCTTTTCTTTTAAAGACTTAAGTGTTAAAGGAGGTGGTGGTAAAAAAAAAGTATCGGTACCATAAAACAGGAGCCATAATTCACATGCGCAAAAATGAAAGAAAATTTGCTAGAACTTTGGAAGAACAAGAACTTTTTTAACGTTTTGAAAGAAAACTAGTTAATTGCAAAACAAAGTGAACTTGTTACTGTTCTGATGGATGTATTTGGAGATGTCAAAAGCTTACTCGAATCAAACAGTAATTGACTCGTTCAGAGAGAAAAAGAAACCAACAAGTCATGAATGCGAATATTTCGAAAAAAAATAAAAAAAGTTTTTGCAGAAAATATATCATAAACGATAAATTTGAACTCGTCATTTTGCGATTCTAGACTTTTAAGGTAGTCGTATGAGAACTAAAAAGTTTTGTTATGAAGACATGTGGGGATGATAATAACCAGTGGCGTAGCTAGATTGTTTGCCACCTCCCCTGCTCACCATAAAAAATACAATACAATACAATGTATTGCATAACGACTCCCTCTGTACCTCCACAGAAAATGCGTTGCCTAAGTTTAAATAAAATGAATTTTAAAAAATGAAAAATAATTCTTGAAGCTTTTATTTTAGTTTTATATTTCAAGCTAGGTTAAATTTAATATTTTCATTAAGCAAAATACTTTGCTGTATTTCAAAAACTAATTTAAATCTGATTAAAAATTGACTGGAAGGAGTTTTTTGTTACTGAAATAGCTGATTAGCACCTTTTTTTAGACGTCTTTCATCACAATGAAATTAAATTCCCTTTATTAAAAAAAAATCTCCCCAAAATAAAATATACTTTATTTAAGGAATATCATCTGATTTGAAACATTATTTACTTATTTATTTAACATATTACAGAAATGCATCTTTTAACATAGTGGTAGCTGTTATTTAAGCTGTTAATGTGTTTGACAGCTTGATGACAAATTGGTATTTATCTAATGTTGTTCTATGGGACTTCAGCCATAAAAAATAATTGAACATAACATGAGTGCCTTTTATATATATAATTTTTAAGTATGCAGTAATCTTAAAAATTTAAGAAAATATTCTCTGTAATCTAATGATTTATTAAATTTTAGATATTTTCTTGCTAAATTTACTTTAGTTATTGATCTTATTTGCTGATAATGTTGTGTATGGTCGTCCATATTTCTAACACTTTTGTCCCAGCCCCTCTGGTGTCTTACTCTCTGGGTTGAGGTGTCTACTTGGTCCAAACCAAACTTAAGGGAGTGGCCATAGGTCCCCTGAGCATCCGTAGATTATTTGACCGGTCTGCTGGTTTAATCCTGCTTCCTGCCCATGTGATTTGTTTAATCCAGAAAGCAGATGTGATGTCTGTCCATTCACAGTTGACTGAAGATGTAGACACGGCTGGAGAGTCTGCGCTAAGAAATTTAGAATGCAGCAAAAAAAAATCAATATCTGCAGGAAGCCGGACAAACAACTATTCAATGGTTGAATTGTTAATGTCTTTTATATAGCAGAAAAAAATAGTAGAGAAAAGAAACGTGTTACAGAAAAGAAAAGTATTTAACATAAAAACTCATACACTGGATTTTAGACAGAGAGAGAGAGAGAGCGTATGTGATTAGCTTGTTGTTAAATTGTCTCAGAACAATATATGACTCTTGCGGTGGAGGGATAAAGATAAGATTTCTGTGCGGGGCTTGAAGTTATAGTGACGTTCCTCCTCCCAACACTTGCCCGGGCCAATTCTTGCTTCTCTCTTTAAGAATTTTCTCCAGTCTCTTGTATATGAACGATGATCAACAAAAGAAAAGAAAATACTTTGTGTAATTTCGTTAAAGTCGAGAGGTGGCTTCATTTTAACCCTTTTTGATTACTGTAGCTTGTTCGACATTTCTGTTCCCAGTGGTAGTAATAATAGTAGCAGTAGTAGTCTTACATCTTGGCGGAAGTAATTTGCTTCTTCTTACTTATATCAACAGCACATGTTAGCAGGCGTTTTGTACCAATCTCCAATGTCACTTTCTTACTTCTTCGAGCATCCAACTCAACTCTGCTCGCTTTCAATCTCCAACATCTCTCCACCCAGCTCAACTGCACTCGAAGACAGACAAGTCAAAAACTCTCTTTTTTTCAGCATAACTATGTGTTTATATAGATAAACCCGGCTGGTTATAACTGACCCTCGGCCCCACTACTTCACACGTGATTATCACAGGGTTCTGGCTGCTTCAACCCATATCATGTGAATTCCAAAGTTCCTTCTAGCTTACTCAGCTCTATTTCAATTTTTAATTGATAAAAAGTATTTTGACCATTTCCATTGTCTTCTGATGATCAGATCCAATGGGTACAACTTCTGCCCTAGATCAGATTTCCCATCAGTAAACAAAATGCTCTGATTTAACTTTGCCATTCAAATCCACTCCAATCTCACTAAAAAAAAAATATATGTTTGTGTGTGTGTTTCCCGACTCTCTCTGTGTCATATATCTGCAAAAGTCAAAACTTACAAAAAAATTCAAAATTCTTTTAAAAATATTAGTGTTTGATGATTTGTACTAAGCTTTCCATTTATGATTAGTAAATATAGTTTTTACTTAATAATATCATCTAAAAGGGTAAAATTAATAGAGAATTTTAAAAGATTTAAAACTTAATAAATTATTCCAATTAGAATTTTTTAAAAACTGAAAACAATTCTTGTTAAAATTCATTATTCATTGAAAAAAATTTTTCTCAAGGCAGTAGTATATTAGTATCTTCTTTAAATAATTTTATATTTTAAAATTAATACAAATTAGATTTAAAATTGGTAATTTTTAATTTTCAATTTTATAGTAAAATTTAATATTAATTAGAATGATTTCTATTTTAGTCTAACCCTAACATTAAGGCATTAATTATTATAACCAAGGTTCATTGTCAAGTTTATTTGAATTCTCATATACTTGTATTTTGATTGGTCATTGAAGCATATGTAACAGTGTTTCCCCTGTTGAGGTGTGTTTGGTCGATTTGAATCTTTTAAAACTCTTTATTCTACATTCAATACCATCACTTGATAAGACACCAGAAGTGTTGAAACAAAATGGCTATTTTTGTAGTGATTTTATAACAGATTTATGTTATAATTTTCAAATAAATTATATATATGTGTATATATATGTATATATATATATACTTTGAATCAAGTTTGCAGGACTACAAAAAATTTGTTTACTGGTGTTGTTTGGAAAGTATCTTGGAGAAGAAACTAGATTCTTACTTTGCTTGTGAGTGGAATGTCTGTGTGGATGTCAATCTGGATTACAAAACTGTTTCAAACTGTTAAATGAATGAGTATTTTCTTTCCCTTTGATATTAGCTGATGTTTAGAAACCCTTTACATTCATGCTGCTATAAGAGATATTTTTTTTTTTTTGCTGAAACTGATAAACTATACAGAAGACTAAATTTGTCTTTTTGACTTAAATCTATGACATTATGTTAATGATTGTGAGATGGGCTGTATCATTTGTCTAATAGCATTATACTGCCCTTAATTTTCAATTTTTTATATTAGCTTCTATAAAATGTCTTAAATCTTATGAGGGTTGTTCAAAAAGTTCTAAGCCTCACTCAGAAAGAGTTGGAGAAATAAAAGTTTTTCACTATTTTTCAAAATAGTCCTCCTTGACATCAATGCACTTAGTTCAATTATGCTTAAGTATTGCAATCCCATCACAGAAGAAGGTTGTGTCCTGGTCCTCCAAAAACTCCTCCACACCACATATGATTCATCATTGTTTCTAAAATGGTGACCAAATTTTTCAGAGTCAACCTGGAAGTGAGTCAGAAGTGTCCAGGAAATGTCAACCCTTTTCAGCTTCTGCTTTGGTGTCAGCATTCTTGGGACCCATCTTGCAGACAGCTTGCTCATCCCCAAGGAAACAGTTTAGGCTGAACCAGAACTAATGCCTATGGACTTAGCTATCTGTTGTTGGACAGTAAGATTGTCATCTCAAATCATACAGTGAATGGTATTAATTTGTTCATCAGTGGTTGAGGTTTTTGGACAACCTGACCAAAGGGTAACATCTGCGCTGTCCCTACACTGCTTGAATTCCACAGCCCACTTATTCACCTTATTCACAGTTGTATAGGAGAGAGGAGTCCTCAGCAAGTGTTTGTACCATGTCCTCATGGATTTCCTTGGGTGTCATACCTCCCTTTTGCAGATACTTTATGACTGCTCAGGCGACTGTTTTGTCCATTTTTAGATTTGTTGCACACCTTTGAATGGGCCTCACTTGCATAAAAATTAAGACAGAAATCTGAATTAGTTTTTCTAGTTTTATAAGAAGTGGTAGTGTGGTGCCACAACAAAAATGTTCATCTATGGCTCTTCTTACTGGGTGAGGCTTAGAACCTTTTGAACAACCATTGTATATGTGGAAGGTAGTTAGTAAGTATCTCAAAAAAGAAAAGTGATACCTAAATTTAAAAATAAAAATATGCATTTTAAAATATAAAAAACCTTTCTTGAAACATTTATTTTAATTCCAAGATTGTCAATAAAAAAATACTTTGTTGATCTATTTCAAAGCCAATTTTAAATTCTTTTTTTAAAACTTTCAAAAATAAAATATACTTTTCTTAAACTTTATTTAAGTAAGATTAATAGAGTTAAAGTCTAATTAATCTAAATTAATACAAATATTGCTTACTTTTTGTTTAAAATATCACAGAAAGGTATTTTTAACATGGAGGGTGTTTTTTTGTGTTCTGACATGTTGAGTGATTTATTGACAGCTTGATGTTTGGGAAACTTAAGTAGGAGGGACATGACTGAAAATTACTTTACAAATATATGAATATATATATATATATATATATATATATATATATATATATATATATATATATATACACTTTAACTACCCAGTAATATTAAAAATTTAAGAAAATATTTAGGTACTTTGGCTTTAGCCTTATTTACAAAGATGCTTTTTGAGAAAATGTTACAAAATTAGTAAATGTGAAATTTCTTATAACTACCTCTCTTATTTTCTGATCATGTCATGTATGGACATCCATATTTACAAAAATTAACACCTTTAAACATACCCACAAAAAAAATTCAAAATTCTTTTTAAAATACTGGGGTTTTTTGTGTCCATAATATATTTTATTCATTAAGCTTTTCTAATTAAAAATGTCATAATTTTTTTACATTTTTTATTTTATGATTGAGGGCAGATTTTCTGAAACTGGGGTTGGTGTTTGATCGAAAATATTTGATGATTTAAATTCTCTGCTGACTTGTCCTTATAACAAATATAAACATCAAAATGCAAAAAAGAATTTCTTGAAATTTCATAAAAATTAAATGAGTTCTGGGAGAGGGTGAGAGATGTAAAATAAATTTTTTTTTTTACAAGGATTTTCTAAAAAATAAATGTTTCAAATATAATTTTTAAAACCATAAACATTGCTGAAGAGTGAAGCTAGTTAAAAAGTGGTGTCATAGGAAAAAAAACGTTCTTTTGACACTACGGCTCAAAAAAATTTTATTTAAACAACATAGAAAATTTATGATCATACAGATAAAAACTTTCCTATAATAATAGATTCATTGGCTACGTCAGCTTATTTCTTTTAAAAAGCACTTTTACATAAAAAGAAAAACCTTCTACCCTTCATTATGACAAACATACATAGATTTAGTGACATCTTGGGATCCTATTATGACGAGTATTTTTTTTTATTTTCATCTTAGTCTTTCACACTTATTGTTTGTACAAATATTATGTTATGGATTTAGATATATGGATGAATATATAAAAATATTAGATAAACAAAAAATTTGTTTTATTTTACACATTTCTTTTTTATAGAACATGCTAGCAAGATCACAAAGGCAGAACGCAAATCTTCTTCAGAAGCAGCAGAATTGTTGTTTGAATTAATTACTAATTGTGATGAACCTGACAAGTGGCAAAAGCTTACAGTCTCTCTTAAGAAAGCAGGTAAGAGCTGTTATTTTGTGTTGCAGGATAAAATACTAGAACATTTTGCTAGAACATATGTTTCTGGAATGTTTAAAATAAGGCTGGAAATTGTTTTCATATAGTTTGTGGTAACAGTGATATTTCACCAGTGTAAAGCTAAGGAACAGTGAGGGAAAACTGATAAGGGAACAAAAAACACTGACACAGTGTCCAAATGAAAAAAGAAAGCCAGAGTGTTGCTAGTGTAGGGTTCAGTGTACCTGAATTAAAAGGAGAATTTAATACGGAATACCCTGCCCACAAAATACAACACAAATTTCAAGAAGAAACAACACGATAAGGAATGCTTGTAGAAAATAGAACATTGTATATTTATTATCTTGTGAATAAGGTAAAAAAGATTAATGCTTTAGTTCGTTTAAGCAAAATGTGATTTTGATAAAAATGTCTGTGTTCGCTGTCTTTTAACAGAGTAGCAGAGTAATGTCTGTTTCTTTTGTTTTTGTATATGTGTAAAGGAAAAAGGGGCGATCAATTTAAGTTGAAAAAGAGAGTGTGGATGAGAAATAAAAGATAAGAGGAAAATGTACTTAAGAGTCAGTTGTAAATTTGTTGTTGTTGTCCTTTCCTACTCCACTTTCGGCTCTTAGTGTCGGGTTGAGTCAGTGATGGAATTTACTGTCAGTCTTCTGTGATTTCTGCACCCTTCTGACTGGCGACTGACTTGAAACTCTGTATTTATTGTTGACTTTTTTTTCACACTGGCTCGTTATCTTTTTTTTGGTTTAGCAAATCGCCTCCTTTCATTGGTCAGAAAATTAATTTCACACCTTATTACGAAATCTGTTTTTAATCATTTTGATCCGATTTTGCGGGTGTGCAAATCTACTTTGTGTTTTTTTGTCATTTGTTGGAATGATATAGGATTTGTATCCTATGCTAGTAAAATAAAAAAAGGACCTCCAGTAAGCATGATTTCTTCTATGTGCTATGTTTCTTCAGAACATAGGTGATCATGGTTCTCCACAATTTCCAATGCTTTGTAGCTCTTAGCAATGTTTGTCTTTTTTTACTATCTCTCCTATTCTCTATTCTGCCATCCATTTACACAAGTTCATGAGATAGGATACTTGTTGCCTTCTACTGTTTCTCCTGATAGTGTTAAATTTTTCAAGCCTTCTTTTGGGAAAATGACATTATAGTTGTCACACATGCACATACAAAAAGACTGACCAACATTTTTCTTCCTAGAAGTATATTTTTCTAATCCAAGAATTATTTGTATTTTGGAATTGGGTGGGAGCATTTGACACAAAATAAGTGAAAGTGATAATATTTTAATAGATACCATGTTCTCGTTGTTATTCAAGAAAAGATTCAAGGAAGTTTTGCAAAGACAGTGCACAATTTTTTTATATACAGTCCTTTTCATATTTGTACCAATGCTTTTGGAAGTTACTTTCTTAAGGTTTTGTTCTTTGTGTTTTATTTTTCAAAAAAATCACATTTCTTGAAGAAGATATATTCTGACAGCTTCCTGACTTAAGAGTCCATAGTACCTCCAGAAATTTTAATATTCACCAACAAATTTGACTCCACCTTACAAAAAGAATCATTAAAAACACAAAAGTGATCAGTACTAGTGACAACATTTATTTAAAAAAATGATTTCTATCCTTATTTAACCTTGGTCATGAAATTCAAAATATTTAGGCAGAAATATAACTTGGTTTATAATTTCTGATAGATAAAATAGATTTATGTCTTGCAAAGGTAGGAAAACTCAAATGCAAAGAAATTTTGATGGAGTTAGTGTGTAAAATACAGAGGTACATCAATCAGCTCATTGTCTCATGATGAAAAAAAAAGCATTTATTTTATGCAACAGGTATTGTTTCAACAGATTCTCTTCCTTGTCAATAAACTTAATATTTCTTTATTGATCATATAAACTGAACATGCACAATGAAAATGGAACAAAATTCAGTTAATAACTATCGGATTTATTCATCTGGACTTTTTTTGTGTTTCTTATTACTATTAATATAATATATAGTGTAGACATGTTTAGATAGACATCCATTTTTATTTTTATTTTAATATACAGACAAACCTCTCATCAATGAACTAATAGAGGGAAGGGGTGGTCTGTTAAAGCCAATTGACTGTAGCTGGGAAGGGATTATTTTTAACTTATAAAACCACTATAGTAACTAACAGTAGTTATGATCATAATGTAAATAGTATAAACATATATATATATATATAACATAAATAAATAGATATATACTTAATATAGATATATTAATCAGAATAACAAAAATAATATATTTCTCACCGCTACTTTCTCATGCACACGCTAATTTACTTTATATACTGTACACCTGTCTTTGTTTACAATTGAAAGACCTGCCACCGCTGCCAAGAGAATTAATATGACTCATTCTGCTAAGCCCACAAATTATGAAATACATCACTGATGATTTGGGAGTTTTTTGCCTGCAGATTTTGTCCACTGAATCCGAAGTCTGTTGATGGGAGGGGGGGTCTGTCCGTAGATGAGAGGTTTGTCTGTACAGCGAAATTAATATCTGCTGGCTTAGGCAATCAGAAGTTTTATTAAAGAAAATGTTCCTATGAAACCTATGTTGCTTCTAACCATGGATGAAACCTATGTTGCTTCTAACCATGGATGAAACCTATGTTGCTTCTAACCTAGGATCAAACCTATGTTACTTCTTACCTAGGATCAAACCTATGTTACTTCTTACCTAGGATCAAACCTATGTTACTTCTAGTTTGGGAAAACCACTTTTAAGCTAGGTGTGCTTTTGACTACTTAGCCACGAGAAACCTTGCAGCAAACAAGTTTAAATTATCCTTTTAAAGAAATGCACATCTATTGTTGAAACCCTTTGAGACCTATATCGTCTAACATAAGCAAAGTAAGTTTTAAATATTTAATGGCTTTCTTCATCCAACATTATTTATCATTATTATATATATTATCCACTTAATAAAATGTTTGTAGTTATAAGAAATAATTTTCACTTAAAAATCCATTAATTGTATGTGTGTAAAAATGTGCCTAAAAGAGCAGATAACTCTTCACATATATTTAGTGTCATTTAATTTAAGGGCCTGCTATATTGGTTTAATAATTTAAATTATTTAATTTGATTTATATATCTTCTAAATCAGTCACAGATTAAACCATATTTTTTACTTTTTTAATTGATATGTATTTAATATGACTGATTTAGGCACAGTGAGGTGACAGATATGGTTTTGCAGAAAAATGCTGAGAATACCATGGCTGGAACATGTTCTGTGATTTCATTCATGATGTCCTCTGAAACATAGTTTTTAATCACCTCATTCAAAAATGCATGTCTGAGGTCTCCTGGGTGAAAGCTGACATTGATGCTTTCATTCCAGCAAGGAAATACCAAGTTAAACCATGTTCATCTCTTTGATTCTTACCTGCATGCTTGGACACTATAGCCCATAGGAATCACTTCTTTTGACTGTATCAGAGTGACACGTCTGATTGCAATAGATGTCTGTTCGTGACGAGTGCAAGTATGTCCTCAATGAAGCAAAGTTATTGTTTGCTGATAGAATGAAACAACGTATAGCCTCTTGCAAGTTCAGTTCAAGAAATTATTGGCGGGTCTGCAAGTGTGTGTGGAACTACAGCAAATCCTCAATCCCTCCTGTATTCAATCAATTCAAAGTCCTAACATCTGCAGCAGATAAGGCTAAATGCTTTGCTTGGAAATTCTCATCCAACTCAACACTCGACTTATCTGGAGTACCTACACCTGATTTCCCCTCTAGAACTGAGGCTTTACTGAGTGATATGCACATAATTCTGTTGCTGGTCTCAGACATCATTTCTAAATTAGACTCCCATAAGGCAAGTGGAGGTGATGGGATACCAGTCATTGTCCTAAAGAAATGTGCTCCCAAGCTGGCTCTGGTTCCCTCCAAACTACACAACTATTGCCTCATTGCTCCCTGCTTTTCAGCTTGTTGGAAGTCCTCTTCTGTAGTCCCTGTTTTTAAGAACTCTGGAGAACCTTCTGACCCCTCTAACTCTAAATTAGTCTCTTACTGCTTTTTGGCAAAGTCTTCTTGGCTTTAATTAATGCTGAAGTCGTTAAGCATCTTACCTCTCATGGCCTAATCTCTGACAAATAATATGGATTCTGCTGATGTGCTTACGGCCACAACTAAATATATATATATATATATATATCAAGCTATATATCAAGCTCTTCATAATAACAGCAAAGCTTGAGCTGTAGCTCTAGTTATTTCAAAGGCATTTGACAGGGTTTGGCATGCTGATCTATGTAAGCTTCAAGGCTACAGTATTACAGGACAATTATTTGAGTTAATCCGATCATTCCTATCAAATAATGAAAGGAAGGTTGTTCTGAACAGGTTCACTTCCCAATCCTTTCAAATGAATGCTGGTGTTTCCCAAGGCTCTATCCTGGGTCCTACACTGTTTCTGATCTTCATCAATGATCTTCCTGATGACATCAGTACCCAAGTAGGCATCTATGCAGATGACACTACCATTTACTCCTGTCACAATGGTAAATCTGTCAGCATTGACAAAGTTGCTCTCAAAAAGGATCTCCAATCAGTGGTTAACTGGGGAAGGAAATGGCTTGTAAATTTTAATGCCTCCAAAACTAAATTGTGAAAGTTGGTTCACTGTGTCGTGCCAGAAGGTTTTTCTTGTCACAGTTCATCTTACACATCTACAAATCTACTATTCATTAATGCACTGAATATTGTTGCCATATCTGGTCTGGTGCCCCTGCTATTCATCTCGAGGTTCTCGACAAAATCCAAAGAAGGATCTGCAATGTAATCGATACTGATTTGGCATTTTGACTTCAGTCACTTTCTCACAGAGGTGATGTGGCTTCCCTCTGTCTTTTCTACAAAAATTTCACAGCAACTGCTCTGACAATCTTTTTTCCCTAGTACTCCAACTACCT